CGAGCTCGGGCCTTCCCCTTCCCGTGTGCATCCGGCCTTGGATTTGGACTTGACGGTCGGCGCCTCCCCCTTGCATCCTTCGGCTGTTTCGGCGCAGGTCGGTGTCTCTAGCAGTTCTTCCTCATCGGTTCCCGGTGTGCCTGAGTACCCCTTGCAGAGCTCCTCTCCCGAACCAACCCGTGTGCATCCGGTTCAGGCCTTGGATTTGGATTTGGCCGCCGGCCCTAACCCCGAGCAGGCTCCAAAGCGTCTCGCGGTGCCTTTGTTCCCCTCAGCAGCTGCTGTGCCAGAGTACCCATTGCAGGGCCAGGTCCCCCTTCCAACCCGTGTGCATCCGGCAAGTGTGGATTTCGTGCCTACTGCCGGCCCCAACCCCGCACAGGTTCCAGGCAAGGTTCAGAGCCCTTATCCCGCAGCAGCAGCTGTGCCAGAGTACCCCTTCCGCCGTCAGGTCCAGACCTTCCTCTCTCGTCAGGAAGTCGCTCTTTCCTTTCCTTCGGTGCCTGACTTTTGCAAGGGCATCTGTCGAAGTTTGGGTCAGGGCCCTTCTTCTGCAGACGAGCGTGCCGAGAGAGCTTGGGTGGCAGGTTGTTGGGCAAGAGCTGTGCTCGAGGGCCTAGTTGACCGGCCCGACCCTACACCGCATTTTGGGCTGCAGTCTCGTTTCTACTGCATCCTGAGGGCCGACGGGCTCACTGAACCTGTGGTGGCATCTTCCTTGACTGTGTTTCGCAGGATCATCGGCCGCGAGCTTGGGACCTCGGTCTCGCAAGGATTCCCCTCCACCTCGGAGTGCAGGGTATACTTTGCAGCAGCAGGCAGGCCGTACCCTGCCACTACAGCCCGGTGAAAAGCCGGCGCCTGTGTGCGCCTAGGGTTAGGGGATGGATTTTGCTAGCCTAGTTGCAGCTGAGGCAGGTCCTCCCGAGATTGTCGAGTTCCAGTGGCCCCCGGCCACAGAAGACCAAAATTCGAGCCAATGTTTGGCCTATGTGGTTATGAAGCGGCCTGCTGGTTTCTTGTTGTGTGTCCCAGTTGGGTTCATTGGGCAGGAGGAGTTGGATCAAGGCCAGCTGCCCATGGAAGCCGAGATGATTGGGCCGTCTCTGGAGATAGAGGCCCCGGCCATCATGCTTGGCCCTGCCGGGGAATGGACTTCTCCCCTGGTCCCCGAGCGTCTGCCTGCCCTTGTGGTGGACCTGCCCATGAGTATGGCCGCGCAGCTTTTGCCAGCAGAGATGGACACCCCTGGCCTGCACACCTTCAAGGATGGGGATGCAGCAGCCTTCCCGTTGGCGGCCGAAGTCCTGAGGCTCTCCCGCGAATGGCTGCGAGACGGGGATGCTTTGCCCCAGAACCGATCGGGCTATCAGACTGCCCAGTCCGGGCAGGAGTATGGGCCCAAGGCCAAAGCCCAGCAGCGACCAAAGCGCCCGACAGTTCAGCAGCTCGCCACCCAGCAGGCAAAGATGATGGAGATCATGACGGCGGTGGTGGGCCGACTAGACGCCTTGGTTGGCTGCCTCGCAGCCGCCTCCCGGCCTCGACGCAGAAGGGCCTCAGTTAACGAAGCCTGTGGGGGCGCCGGCCGTTCTTCAGCAACCCCTCTCTTCAGTGTTGCCTCCAGCTCAGGTGGTCGCAAAAAACCTGGCAAAGACTCTGGGCCCTCCACCGCCTGCACGAGCTCAGCCTTTTCACTGCAAGTTCAGGTCGAGAAGGAGGAAGAAGCGGCTTTCGCTGTGCCCGGGCCCCCGCAGGCCGATCAGCAGTCCGATTCTTCATTGACAGGTGCCGTGCTCGCTCAGTCGCAAGCTCTTGTTGCCTTGGTGAATCAGCTCTCGGCAGGGGGGGCCGATCCTCTGCTAGATGGCCAGCCGGGCCAGTCCGCATCAGTGCGTGGCTCTGTCGGCAGAGCAAAGCTTCAGCAGGAACTCAGCCTCCGCTCCGGAACTTTCGCGGACCGCGTCAGAGAAAACATGGAGCGGCAGATGGACCCGACTCGTTTGATGCCACCAGAGGCTGTCAGCTTCATGCGTTTTCTGGAGAGGCACGGCAGCTTTGCACATCAGCACCTCCTGGGGTTGATTGCCTGGCAGGTCGCTCAGAGCTTAGACTTGCTTCAGAGCGGCAGTGTGGACGGGGCACGCGACACCTTATCGCTTTTGATGGTGATGTTGGATCAAGCAGCCCTCGATGTCAACGACACTACCCTAGCGTGGCTTCTCACGCTCCAGTCCCCTCCGCCAGCAGGCTTGTGTCAGGCACCGCCTTCGGTCCCGGGGGCTTCCCTGCAGACCTTCACGTCCCTTGCGGACCAGCGCTGGGTATCAGTGTCCCTGGCCTATCTGAAGGAGTTGGACACGATCTCCTCGCGGAAGTCGGAGGCCAAATCCAGCACAGCTGCGCCGCCTCGGCGCCCACCGAAAGGCCCGCCTGCCCTGCCCCCTGCTCCACCAGACACAGAGGAGCAGCCTTTGAGTCGGAGGCAGGCCCGAGCTGCTGAGTGGGCGGCCGCCAACGCCGCAAAGAAGTCAAATGCACAGCCGCCAAAAAAGTAGGTGTGTGCCCCGCCCTAGGTACAGGCTCACAGGTGAAGGTTCGTGTTGGCCCTTTGTCTGTGTCTTCCTCAGCCTGTCATATGGTTGGTGCCTCGCCTCGACAGCCCTCTAGAAAAAAGCCGGCCGGTGCAAAGGTGTATGAGAAGCCCCCGGGCCTCCCGAAGGATGTGGCTGGCGATGTTAAGGTCCCGCCTGAGCCGTTCCCTTTGACAGGTGTTGCCCTACAGGAGGAGGCTTCGTTTTCTTTCGACGCCTGGATTTCGGCGCTGCCAAGGTTGCTCAAGGCGGCTCGCACCCAGGTCGGTTTCTTTTTGGTTTCAACTTTAAGCCTGACGAGGGCGTGGGACCTCCCCCCCTCTGCCGCTCTCTTCCCGCTGCCAATACGCTACTAGGGCGTGTTTGCGGAAGCTCCCTGCAGATCCCGAGCCTCTCGGCGAAGGTTGTCCGTGCAAAGATGCACCCACCTGGTTGCCATGTGTTTGGACTATGTCGAGGTGGGTTGCAAGCCAGTTTCGTGCGCGGCCCTGCGGAGGCCCCTTAGCCCTAACCAAGCAAAGGTCTATGTTAGGCTAGAGGCTCTTGTGAGAGCGTGTGCCCGCCAGACCGGGAGCGTTCCCTGTTGTGCGGGCAGAAAAGGACTTCACACAGCCGCCCGTCTGTCTGAGGTTTTGGACTTCTTGCGTTGCGCTGGCATTGGGGAAGGGCCCTATGCGCCCCCTCCTGTTGCCACCGTTCCGCACATGCGCGGTGGACCCGAGGCACTGCGCCCCTACGGGCCGATCAAAGCAGACCAGGTTGCCCTTCACGGCAAAGGCCACTGGGAGCTGTCAGATTTCCTGGAGCCTGAGCTCAACATGCCTTATCGCGAGCCCGAGGTGCTCCGTTTTCAAGGAACAGGGGGCCCCATTGCCTCGTTTGTAAATGAGGACACCTGCGAGCTCCAGGCCCTCTGCCGGATCTGGGATAGATCAGGTCTGCTTGGAATTACGGCAGGCCCCTTGCCCGACAGGCTGCTTACCCGTGTTTTTGCAGCTTTCAAGGCGCCTGGCAAGCAGAGACAAATCGGAGACCGAAGAGGTCAGAACTCCTTGGAATCCCAGCTCACCGGCCCCTCCCGTTTCTTGCCAACCGGCCCTCAGCTCTGCCTCCTTACAGTTCCACGGAACAGGTGCCTGGTGGGCAGCGTGACCGATAGGCGAGATTTTTATACACAGGCGAAGGTGACACCGCAGAGGCAGGAGTCCAATGCTATTGGGCCGGCCATGTCGTTGGCCTGCTTTCGAGGCACCCGAGCATATGATGAATGGGTCGGCCAGGCCCATGCTCTGGCCTCTCGCCGCGCCGTCGCTGGCCTTGATGCTCCCCGGCCCGCGCTTGGAGTGCTCGACGAGCAACTTGTCCACCCCACCTTCGCTGCTTTGCTGCAGGGTGACGCAGGGGGAGTGGAATTTGCTACGGCAGCTCATGAGGGCTTGTTGCTGCGGTTTGGGTGCCTTCAGCCTCATGGTAGGCTGCAGGGGAAACACCATGTTGATCGTGAGGGTCCCTGGCAAGGACTTATCATAGACGATTTCTTTTGTTTGGCAACAGAAGCCGCCACTCATGTGCCAGGGGACCCCTCTGTTTCCTCTGCTTGCGTTGATCGTGCAAAAGAAGCCTATCAGGCTTACCAAATACTAGGGTCGGATGACAAGGACATCCTGAGCCAGCGTTGTCTGCGCGTTGCTGGCGCCGAGATCGATTCGTCCCCCGAGACCGTTCGAGAAGGTGCAACCCTAGTTGCGTACCCCGCTGACAAGCGGCTCAGCCTGGCAGCCGCCTCAGTCCGAGCAGCAACCCTCCCGGCTTTGAGCGAGGAGCTGGTGTCAATCCTTTCAGGCTCGTGGGTCTCTTGTCTCCTTTACCGTCGTTGCCTGATGTCTGTGCTTGACGGCTTGTTTGGTTTGGGAAAGAAAGCCCCGGCCGAAGTGCCGAATGGGTCGGCCCTCAGGCCGCTAAGCCGCAAGGTCGCCGGTGAACTGCAGATCCTCGCCGTCCTTGCCCCCTTCATAAGCACCAATGTCTCTGCCTCCCCCACAGGTGAGGTTTGTGCGACGGATGCCTCTCTAAAAAAGGGGGCTGTTGTAGCGACACGAGTTCCTGAGGACGCTGCCCTAGACCTTTGGCTCTCCTCCGACTTCAAGGGCAGCCCGGTTCGTTTAGACGGCAGGCCGGTTGGCAGCAAGGACCCCAGCCCCAACGAGGCTTCTAAAGCTGTGGAGGACCTAGGGTGCCTTGAGGAGGAGGTTTGTGGTCCTATCGGCACCGCTCCGAAGCCGCTTGCTTGTGCGTACGACTGTTTGGTCGTTGGCCCTGGCTCGCAAGCTATCGTTGACGAAGCGAAAAGGTGGGGCCTCACGCCTAGCCCCGCGATTGATTTTCACAGGTCCTCCGAGTACGACCTTGCCTCGCCACACCTCAGAGAGTGGCTGGTGCACCTTGTCAGCTCGCGTGTTGTCAAGTCTGCCATCCTGTGGCCCGCCTGTGCCTCTTTCTCCCCTTGCTTCGGCGGCTCCATCGGATTCTCTCGGCGACGCAGTCCTTCAGATCCTCGCCCGCGAGACCAACGAGGCGCTGCCACCTGCCTTGCTGTTATGCTAGCCGCTGCCCGCGCCGGTGTGCCCGCCGTTTTGCTGCAGCCCGCGACCTCTGGCATGAGCAAGCTTGCGGCCTGGGGCTCACTCGCCGGCAGAGCAGGCTGCTACGACTATGAGCTGCGTGTCGGCCCTGGTCTTCGCCTGAGGCTTCTTTCTTGTCACATGCCAGTCCTGCACATCCGTAGTCCCCCTGCGGGCGTCAACAGTGAAGACGTGAGGTGGCTACCGCATGTCAACGAGGCCCTGTGCAGCTCCTTCCTTTCTCTCTTTGCCTCAGGTCAAGGCCAACCTGCGACCTGTGAGGCTGGCAGACAGGGCCTCCACAACGTCGCCGTGAATGACCTTCTCATTGCGGCTCCCTGGGTCCCAAAGGCCGTCTGGACTTTTTCAAGGCCAATGCATATTAAGATTTTCGTCCTGTAGGGAACCGGAGGGATAAAATCTTTATTTATCTTTCCACTCGACGGTTTTATATTCTTTATAAAACCGAGTGCGCGTT